TATATACATACAATGGAATATTACTCAGCCACAAAAAGGAAGAAATTTGAGTCATTTAAACTGAGGTGGCTGAACCTAGAGCCTGTTGGACAGTGAAGTAAGTAAACAAAAACAAATGTCGTATATTCACGCATATATATGGAATCTAGAAAAATGGTACTAATGAATTTATTTGCAGGGCAGCAATGGAAACACAGACATAGAGAACAGATTTGTGGACACAGTGGGGAAAGGAGAGTGTAGGATGAATTGAGAGAATAACATTGAAACATATACATTACTATATGTAAAAATAGATAAGTAATGGGAAGTTGCTGTGTAACATAGGAAGCTCAACAGCTCTGTGACAACTTAGAAGGGTGGGCCGGGTAGGGTGGGGTGGCAGGAAGGCTCAAGAGAGAGGGGTTATGTATATACTTCTGGCTGATTCACATTGTTGTATGGCAGAAACACAACAACACAACATTGCAAAGCAATTGTCCTCCAATTAAAAATAAGTTATTTTTGCTGGATGAGGGAAGATAAAGAGAGCATCCTAATTCCTAATGTACAAATTAGGAAATGTAAATGTAAATCTGTTTGCTTTCGGTCTCTTTCCCATCCCTCTTCTGTGTATCTCTTGTTTCTTGAGGGCATATTCTTGGGTTCTTACCATCAATATTTTGCCACGCAAACTCGTGGTCTTTGACTTGTGAGTCTGGAACCCAGATGTTCCCCCTCCTCCTTTCACCACCCATGTCCTTAGGCCTTTGGGGAGAGGGTGATGTCCTTTTCACCCAGACAGTCCCTGTGTTGGATTATTACTGATAAGCTGCTTTATGTACTTGGATCTCCCTGATGCAGCTCTAAGGCTTACACAAACACTGTCCTGATTGGTTCAAACCATCAGAGAAATAAGAAAGACACCAAGTGTAGAAGGAGCTGGGAGTTACCACATGGTGACAGGAGAGTTTTAGTTTAGGTTTTTTGTTTTTTTTACTATTCTGCGATTATGAAGTAACATAAAGCCAACTATGACTTTGAGGGAGAGTACACAGTTTGGTTAGAGCTGTAGCCTTTCCTTAATCAGAAAAAGATAACTCTGCAGATTCCAGGACATTTACTAAGTTTGACTCTCCCACCCCCACTCCCTCTTTTAATTAACTTCTGTTATCTTGACTCTAAATTAATCATTACAGAGTTACTTCAGGAAGACACAAAGAATAACTTTCTTTTCCCTGGACTATTTTTTCGTTAACTTTTTACAGTTTTTTAACAATCTAAGAAAGCCAATCCAGGACTGGAAAATGTAGCAGAAAGCCATTGGGAAGTGTCGACTACAAAAACTTTAAGGACACTAGGTCCCTGAACAAGGCTCTTCTTAAAGTGAGAGCTGATATCAGTGGCAGATAAACTGCAAGAGATAAGGAATGTGAAGGGTATTAACTTTGGGTAGATATTTATATTTCTTTTCATTTTTTTCTTACATTGCATATAATGTAGAGTTGATGTTTGGCCACTATTTCTGCTCTTATCTTTATTTTTTGTTTAACAGAGGAAAACTCAAGTGATAGCTTCTAAGGTAATTTCTTGCTTTCTTCCAGTGACTCAGTCTGGACCAAGACTAACCTTTCGCCCTGTGCAACCTAAATTGCAGGTACATTGTGATCTTCGCTAAATGATCTACATTAATGATCTACATTAAGTGATCCTCACTGGCAGGATTGTAATTGCAAAGCTACACCATCAAGTAGACATGCTGCACACTTTCCCCTCCTTTATAGCAAAGCTGGAAATTGTGTGTAATTTTCAGCATTAACTCCACTCAATTTACTCCCCTCGTGAAAGAGTATCTTGTGGTTTTGAAATGACACAATCGCCACCAATTCTGAGTTTTCTACATAGGGAACATCTCCTCAACCCCAAGAATCACTGCTGGAAATGAATGACAGTCTCATCCTTAAGGATTCTTGCAAGTTAAAAAGTGGTGCCTGGAAAAAAAAAAAAAAGTGAAGCCTGGGGAGAGAACTTGTATAGTGAGACTCTCATGGCAGAAACTAGATGAAACAAGAAAAATAAAATCTTTTTAAAATCTTATTTTATCACATAGTTGATTTATAATGTGTTAATTTCTGCTGTAGAGCAAAGAGTTTCAGTTATACATACACACACATATATATGTTACATATGTACATATATTCTTTTTCATATTCTTTATGGTTTATCACAGGATATGTAATATAGTTCCATGCGCTATACTTAGGACCTTGTTGTGTATCCATCCTATATATACTAGTTTGCATCTGTTAATCCCAAACTCCCAATCCTTCTCTCGACCATCCACCTCCCCCTTGGCAACCACTAGTCTGTTCTCTATGCCTGTGAGGTTGTTTCTGTTTCATAGATATGTTCATTTGTGTCTTATTTTAGATTCCACATATAAATGATATTATATGATATTTGTCCTTCTCTTTCTGACTCACTTCACTTAGTATGATAATCCCTAGGTCCATTCATGTTGCTGCAAATGGCATTATTTCATTCTGGAAAAAAACCAACACTCTTCATTCTTACCTTCTAGGACTGTTGGCTGTTTCAGTCCCCAGTGAACATATTCTCTTATTTATAACATGACATTTATGTAAGGATTCTGATAACAGGTTAGCTCTTCCCATAACAGTGTGTATGTATGTTGTGTAATTATTACTGGACTGAACAACCGTGCATAAAGTACATGAGTGTGTGTGTGTGTGCATGCTTGCCCAAGACTGTTAAAGAGTGGGGAGAGAGGAGCATGAACCTCTCCTTTTTCTTATTCCCATGTGCATGTGTTGAGAGAATAGCATTTGGTTTCTAAAATAAAGCTGATCTGCATAAAACAAACAAACCCCAAACTTTATTTTCAGTTATCTGTTAATTATATTAAGTTGTAAGAAATAATACAGAGAGGTTCCTTATAGACCTTTTCCCCAATTTCCCCTAATGATAACATTTTGCATAATTGTAATATAATGTCACAACCTGGAAAATGACATCAAAACAATCCTGGGGCCTTATTCAAATGCCACCAGTTTTATGCTCACCTGTTCCTGTGAGTGTATATTTAGTTCTGTGCAATTTTGTCACAAACGTGACCTGCTTTTGAATCCTAGCTCTGCCAACTAGCTGTGTGGTCTTGAGCAAGCTCCTTAACTTCTCTGAGGCCTGGTTTCCTCATTTGCAAATGGATGGAATAATGTTTGGCTCCTAAAGGTGCTGTGAGGATTAGGTAAAATCATTTGACAAGTTTCCAGCACACTGGATTCTCAGAAAATGAGAGTTTCTTCCCCTCTGCCCCTTGTTCTTTCAGTGGCAAGGGAACATTCTCCAGTTTCCAGCTGAAATAACCAGGCTGGTGAAAGTTTGGTTTAGCTGCTCAATCGTGTCGGATTCTTTGCGACCCCATGGGCTGTAGACTACCAGGCTCCTCCGTCCATGGGATTTTCCAGACAAGAGTACTGGAGTGGGTTGCCATTTCCTTCTCTAGAGGGTCTTCCCGACCCAGGGATTGAACCCGGGTCTCTCACATTGTAGGCAGACGCTTTACCGTCTGAGCCACCAGGTAAGTCCAATCAGGCTAAATCAGGCGGCTCCTTCTTCAGGAGCAACGCATTTAACTCTGCAGCCCGGAGAGAAAAATGGTGTCACCTCCGGCCCACAGCCAACGCCTCTAGGCCCGGACCGGAGTCGGGTTTGCCTCCAGATCAGAAGTGTAGAGATGGGGAAAGTGAGAAGCAGAGACTCTGGGGGAGCCCCTGGAGTAAGGGTAGGAGGGAGGAGGCGGTAAATACCGAGCAATCACAAGCCTGAGAATTTCCGACTCCAGGGATTTTCCCTCGGGTGTGGCTAGTGACACAGGGTTGGATGTAGCCACAGAAGGACATGGTGGGCAGGTGCGGAAGCCAGTCTAGACTGGTAGGAGGGTCGCGCTCACTGGCTAGGGTTCAGGGTCAAGCCTGGAGCTCTTCAGCCTCCCGGGACCCTCTTCCAATGACCGCCAATGGGCGCTCGAGGGCCGAGAAATCCAAGGCCGCTTGGGGCACAAGAGGAACCTGAATCCCCATCTTACAGTCCCACGGGCTGGAGGCGGGCCCCTTCCCCGACCCGGAGACTTTGCTGGCCGGGTGTCCTCGGCACGGAGGGGTGTGTGCACGAGTTTCTGGAAGGAAGGAAGGGGCAGAGGGTCGACTTCAGGTCGCTGACCTCCCCCACCCGCGTCCCAGCAAGCCCCGGAGTTCAGATCTCCGCGGCGTCCGCCCCAGCGGTCGGGATCGAGCACCTCCGGGCTTCGGCCACACGAGGAGCAGTCCCCGTGGAGGGCGGGTGGCGGACTGACTCCGAGAGGGCCCGGGCGGCGCCCAGCGCTCCTCCCTCAGCGGCCCCAGCTGCGCGGGCCGCGGAGGAGGAGTCGCGCCCGGGCAGGCGTCGCCCTGGCTCCTCCTCCCCGCGCGGGCCTGGCCCTTCCTCCCCGCCGTCCAAGGCTTCGGGTGGCCGCGGCGGAGCCGGGAGCCGAGCGCGCTGGGTGCGGCCGTCCAGCTGCCGCCGCCGCCGCCGCCTCCGAGTCCCGAGCGCCCCCGCGGCCATGGTACCCGCGGCGGCGAAGGGCGCCTGAGCTCCGGGACGCGGTGAGCGCGCAGCCGGCTCCCGGGGACCCGGGTCCCGCGGCCTGGGGGTGCTTGGAGGCCTCGTGCGGCCCCCGCGCCGTCGGCGAGGCCCTGCGCGCCCGGGTGGCCCCGGCTTCGGGACATGCTGGGGATCCCCCTCCGGGGCTGCGGCCGGGTGGTGGCTGTCGGCAGCGAGGAACCGGGTGGCCAGGCAGCCGGCTCGGACCCGGGCGTCAACGGAGAACCAGGCGGGGAGGGGGCGGCGTGGGAGGCGGAGGAGGGGCCCGTCCCGGAGCGTGGGCGGCGGGGGCGGGTTGGCGGGCGGGGAGGATGCGCGCCGCAGTCCCCGGGAGCAGCGCTTTTGTGAGTGCTGGCCCCTTACATATGGAAATGACGCTCGCGCTGGTCCCCATTCGCGTCCTTTTGAAGGACGCCCGCCCAGAACCCCGGCGCCGGCTGCGAAGTATTGTCCGGCTTCTGGAGCCCTAACAAAGCGTCCCTCCCCGCTTTGCAGAGCACTGGAGGCAGCGGCCGGCTGTGCGGGCGCAACGGAGAGGCCGACAGAAGGTAAGCGAGGACGGCGGGGGCCGAGGGAGCTGCTGCTTCGAGACACAATGGGGTGCCCGAGATGTCCGGGGGTAGCGATAGGCAGGCGGGTCGGGGGCGCATCTCCATCTCGAGTTGGGAGGCACACCTCGCCCTCCGCCGGCACCGCAGCTCAGCCGGGGCTGGGCACCTCCGCACCCCGCAGGGTCCCCGCCCGCACTGCCGGCTGAAAGCGGCTACTGTGTGCAGGTCCAGGACCGGACTTGAATCCTGGAGGGAGCAGAAAGGGTGGTTGTTTTGTAGCCAGGCAGCACTGTGACTGAGAAATTCAAGGGAAACCTATCTGGGGGCCCCGAGGTGTTAGTCTGGACTGAGTCGCGGAGAGCTGTTTGGTACAGTGGGAATTTTAGAAGATGTGAGTGATCAGTGCATAGAGAAAGACTTGCCCCGTGCGACTACTGAGAAAACGGGAAGAACAAAATGACGCTCGGTTTATTGCCTGAAACCCTTGACCGCCAGACCCACGGAATGAAGTGTGGTGTGTAGCCGGAGAAGCTTCCAGGGTTCCAGAGGGTGGGCTTCTGCAGCTATCAAACCGGTCCCTGACAAAAGGACAAGGCTGATGGAGACAGTTGACTGCTGAAAGCTCTTTCTGTGTAGTTGAAAGAGATAGAGATAGAAAGGGGCGATTTCCCAGCCTCAACCCTGACAAACCCAGGCTTAAGTGTAAATGAAATGGGAGCTGGAAAGATTGTGCTACCATGTTACCTTGTTTCTAGACAGCTTAGCTATTATGGGATCTTCTGCTTTCTTTACTTGACTGGGCCAGATCCCTTCCTGGTGTTGAGGAACTCCTGACATAAGCTTGTCATAGAAATTAACTCCTGGATTTGTGAAATCAAAATGAATCACCGTCATTGTCTGTCGTGACTGAGGTGATAGCTTTTTTAGGATTAGAATCCCACTAAAGTCCACAGAGGTACTCAGGCTAAGCTTCTGAGACCAGCGAGGGTTCTCAATCCAGACCCCTAAAATATATTAACAAAAATTTATATGTTTACTTGTTTCCTGAGGCTTGACAGTCTGCAAGGACATGTTTGTTTGTTTCAGTGTCAGTTTAATTTTGGTGTTTAGTCTTCTTTGGTGGTTAGCGTGTTGGTAATTGACCTGAAATATCGTCAGGTTTTGCTCTGGAGTTGAAGAGGGCTGTGAAAATTCCCAGACTGTTTGTAACAGTGACATGACAGGCTGGCTGACAAAACAGTTTATTGTGGTCTCCTAGCTATTGTCAGTGTCCTCAGAGAGGTGAAGTGAACTGCTGGGGAGTTTCTTGGCAGATTAGTTTATTTTCAGCTGGTTTCTGGTGATTCCTTAGAGGAAAGCATTCTGAATTGCAGTGTAGATAAAGGGTAGGAGTTACGGATGTTCCAAATGGGTTGGACATCAGCAAAGGTATTGCCAAGGCAGGAAGAGGCTTTATAGGGGGCAATGGAAAGGAAGCCATCACAGGCATGATCTTTGCAGTCAAATGTCAGGATCAGTCATTTTTATAGGCACATGCTCAGAATGCCATGGGTGTCTTTTTTCTTGTTCTTTTTTCATTTTAGATATGTGATGAGCCTTAATATCAAAAGATGTTAACTGTCACAGAGGTGGAGAATAGGGCTCCAATGAATTTTGAGCAGACAATCTTAATAGGCCAACATTTTTATCATACGTCAAATGTTGTTCAAATAAATTGTTTTAAATGTCACTGCAAATGACTTTTTAAACTAACATTTCACCGATCTTGATGCTTCTGTTTTATGTTGATAATGAAAATACATTTTATCAGTCTTATATTGATAAAGGGTTGGTACATTTAGTCAGAGCATTTTAGAACGATTCAAACAGCCCGCAGCCTTTTCAGGAGGTTTATTTTTATAGATGTCAATTCATTTGTAAGCCAATAAATTATGTGGTTTGAATTCTGGCTATTGAACTTACATCTGTTGGGCAGGGACTTGTGGAGAGATTTACTGAAGCTTGCAAGAAGATATTTTTGTCCTATTCACAAATAAAATATAAATTTGAAAGATGGGAATATGCTAGTGAGCAACTTTATTTGAAATCAGGACCCATTTTTATTGCAGTTCATATCAGCAATTACCATTTGTTCAAGCTTTTAGATGGAAAAATTACAAACTATTTATGATCTAAAGCTCACTTAAAAAACAAAGCTAGGAAAATATTGTTTATAGATATGAGAAGACAAGCGCTATACTCCAGGGAGCCATAGTCAGAGCTGCAGACATTAATTTAAGTAAAAGTGGCTCAAGAAGTGAAAGTTGTTACAAGCTCTCTTTTAGGAGAGTAACAAACATGAACCTCTGTTTTGTACTTCTGAAATTTTACTTAGTAGCTAATTACAGGTTATTGAAGCTACCCTGTGCCAGGCTAATGAGTTAACTCCGGCCATCCTGAGTTAAGACTTGATTGGGTAATCCACCTAGCTATTAGGTTTAACAAAAACTTGGGTTTGTTATATGATTTCAGGAAAGTAAAATACTAAGGCTGTTATGTTTTAGAATAAATGCTAGTGGGATACCCTTAAATTTTTTTAAATTGTAGTTAGCAAAGTTTGTTATTTTCTTTCAAATTTAATGTGATTTTTTCCACTGTGTGGTGACATTTAAGTTTTTGTGTTATATTTTTACATTCTGATTTTATTCTTGCTGATACTCTTGTGCTTTTAGTATCCAGCTAGAAGTGAGGTGCTATCGAGCTGAGAGAGACTCTCTGACAGTAATCCGTTTGATGAGCAGCAGTTTTGGGCAGAAATATTCTACATCAACACTTAAATGGGGGATGGGGGTGCATTGCTTTTTCTGTTAAGCTTCTTGCTAAACTTAAATTTATTCTTGTCACTGTGTCATTTTATGCTGAAATTGGTCCAAAATGGAAATCTTTGCAACAAATTAAAGTGTTTGCAGAAAAGAGTGAAGAAAAAGAAACATTCTAGTTTGACCATTGGTATTATGAGGCCAAACAGTGAAAGCAAAAGGCATGAATGAAAAGCTTAGCCAAAGCAGAGCTGGTCCATGTTCATCACTTTTGTTATAAAATAACTAAATTAGTCACTTCGTGGTCACTGCCTGGGCTGTGGACCCCCAACAGCTATGTCTGAACACAGATCCAAAAGCATCTATTATGATACTCAGGGAAAGCTGCTGAGCCAAGAGGGCCATCCAGACATTCCTTGTAGCTGTTCAGCTGCTGAACCATCTGGAGGTGAAATAAAAGGCCTGGGCTAGGGACTCTGGCATTGTGCTCATTTATTATTTGGTTTTCTCTTGCCAGACTTTGTCCCCTTTTCACTCCTTTTGGCCAGAGCAGACGTTCCCTTTGGTTGGTCTGCCATTCTTACAAGCTCCTTTCTATACCTTGGATGCTGGAAAGTTCACAAGTTCACCAATCTACTTCATGCTGGCCTTATATTAGGGACTTCATTGTCCCACCCACACCTCCACCTCACTCTTTTCCAACCCCAGACAGCACTGTGATTTCATCGGCTGGGGTTGCCGAGGGGAGCACAGTGACAGCGGTCTCTGATGGACATCCCTGTCAGGGACAGCACATCCTGGCAGCCTTGTTTTGAGTTATTTGGAAGGAAAATGCTCTGAATTGTTCTCATTTTGGCTGGTTGTTGGGTGGTAAATGTTATGATTAATGGCTTGGTGCGTCTGCCTCTTATTTAACCATCCCTGGTTAGAACTCCAAAAACCATCCCTGGTTAGAACTCCAAAATATTACCCACACTGGCTGTTTAATTCTAAAGGTGTCATAGAGGTTTCTGGCAATTTGATTGAAAAGGTATATGGTAGAGGTCCAGGCTTGTGGCAGGCTTTATAAAACTGAAATTGTCCTTGGAAATTTGAGGGACAATTTATTACTCAAAACCCAACTTCCTTTATCTCTAAGTAAGATTCCTGTCACTGGTGAGTGTCAATTGGGCTTTCACTCTGGAGAGCATTGAATTACACAGATTAGACATACTTAAGTATTAACAATTATCTGTTTCTGGACTATGCCCATTATTGAAGACACAGGACTCTTCGTGAACATTTTTGTGTAAAAATGTATTTCTTCTTTGCCATAAATCCCAAAGCTACTTTAGAAAATAGAGGATGCTTATTCTGTGCATCCTTTGAGCCTCATAGGCTCTGTGGTTGGTGTTGTTCAGTCACTAAGTTGTGCCTGACTCTCTGTGACCCCTTGGACTGCAGTATGCCAGGCTTCACTATCTCCCAGAGTTTGCTCAGATTCATGTCCATTGAGTTGGTGATGCTATCTAACCCATAGTTATTCAATAAATGAATCAAAGGATGTAGGGAGGAAGGAACCCCACTCTTCCTCATTCCAATTTGGAGGAGTTTGTGGCCACCAGGTATTCCATGATGGTTTCTAGTGCTTGGTACCATATAGCTGGTTAATACATAAAAGTGGAGATGAGAGATTTGTCAGTGATACCGTACCAGAGGTCCCGTTCATGTGTGCTGTGTGCATGTGTAAGGTTGACAGATAGTATAATTTAGAGTCATACCAGAGTTCAAGTCCCGGGCCCATGGCCATTTTTAGTGTTAAATCATCGGACAAATAGCTTAACTTTGCCAGGCCCCAGTTTCTACATATTAAATGGGAAAATGATATCTACTTTAAAGAATTAGGAAGATTAAATGAGATCATTTATGTGAAGTACTCAGGGCCAGACTTATAGTAAATTCTCAGAAATTAAAAAGAAAAACAAAAAAATCTTCTGAGCTCTCAACTATAGTTCAGCCTTTCTGCTTTTGTTTGACATTAAATTTATCAATAATCTGCCTTTGAAGATTGAGGAAGCCCTGAACATTACCTACTGCAGTACCATTTAGTCATATGATACTGCTTATATGCATAATATGCCCCCCACCTGTTCTTGCTTTCTAGGGTATTCCACAGCTCCTGTTTTGATTTTTGGAAGGCAGGACTCTGGCCAGTTGATGTATATAAGTTACCCCTCTTCAGTTTACCCCTCCTTTGTAAACTGCATGTATTTTCTTGGTTGTTTTCTCAATTACCCTCTTGTACCAGTTTCCTCTGGGATTAGCTGCTCTTGCTTGCCATATTTAACACTCAAAACAACCTTCCAGCTGGGTATTATTATTCTCATTCTCTAGACAAGGGAACTTGGAAAAGTATTTTAGTACAGATTTTCCTCCAAAATCATATCCTGTAACAACAACAAAATTGCAGTTGAAGTTTGTGAATCCTTAATTACTTATAGAATCAAACTTAGTATGGTTTCCATGGTGCAGTTTGGCAGTGAGTGCTTGCCTTCAACTTATGCTTGGTTATGTCTTCTTGTGGAAGAAATGGGTGTTTCACAGTCTTCGTATGCTCATTTCTATAATGTTCATTCAGGGTAAGTTTCCTTGCAAGGTATCTCATTTACTAACTCCATGACCTTTACTGAGTCCCTAGTATGAAGAATAGACTGTACTAAGCGTTGGGAAGCTAGAAAAGAAACTGAAATCATGGACCTTGGCATTAAATAAATTTCTGCCAAATGAGGAGAAAAATAATTCTTGCACATGAAATAACTGATGAACATTTGGGGAATAATATCAACCAGTAAAAACGCCTTTTGTGCCAGAAAAGTACTGACAACTTGTCACCATATGTAACATCTTTTGGATGTTTCCATATGATCATTTGTTCTGCAGGGGCAAGGCTGTTTTTCCTGTTAAGTCAAAAGAATGTTTTACTGAGCACAGTTCTTGGGATGGAGGGAGATGAAATAAAGAGATAAAAAAGGAAAATTGCTATGAGATGAAAGGTTTGAATTAGTGAAAATCCAGTGACCTTGTAAAGAGCAGGGTGTGATAGTTTATCAGTTCTAACTGATAAACAAAATAACTTGAGAGTGTGACATAAACATCAAAACCATTCAAAGCCATGAATAAGATTGAGACTTCTTAGTATATTGTGAGGTGTTTTTTCTTTTTAAATTGAAGTACAAATGAATTTATTTACAAAACAGAAACAGACTCGAAGACTAGAAAACAAATATGGTTACAGTTGCCAATGGGTGAATAAACTCAGATACACATAACTGTTGTGATTTTTATGGTCCTCTTTCATTGGTTTAGATGGACAAGTTTCCACCCCTTAAAAGTAATTTTTAGAAGAGGAAGTATTAGAGTTCTTTCACTTTTGCATTTTAAAAAAATATGCAAAATCAGGAAGAAGCAGAATAGTCTAACTTTTATGAAGTTGATCAGATTCTAGCCTAGGGACTTTCCTGACAGTTCAGTGGTTAAGACTCCACACTTCCACCGCAGGGCTCTTGGGTTCGATCCCTGCTTGGGGAACTGAGATCCCACATGCCACAGGAACTAGCCCCTCAACTATAGAAAGCAGCACCTTTAAAAAAAAAAAAGGATATCTTGCCAATATACTTTTTCTTGGGATAAAAAAAGATGGCCAAAAAAATTAAAAATAATTAAATTTTTAAAAATTCTAGCCTGGGGGACTGTAAAACTCAGACACTAAGTCTGAGAGCTTAAAACCTTGAAAATACCTGAGGGTCTTGGGGATTCTCAACAGATCTTAGTTGATGATGAGGTGGGCAGACAATAAGTGAATTTCATTAGCAAAGCCTTGGCATTGTCTAAATTCCTAACTTTTGTGCTCAGTTGTGTCCAACTCTTTTGCAGCCCCATGGACTATAGTCCGCAAGGCTTCTCTGTCCATGGGATTTTCCAGGCAAGAATACTGGAGTGGGTTATAGCTTTGCCTAACACCTTGGTTGTTCCTTTCTGGTGTTTTGATGTTTATGTCAAGTTATTTTGTAAACATTTACATGCTGATTAGTTAAGCCAACAGACCAACCCTGGGAAGGCAGCCAGAGCCAGCAGCACCATAATAGAGCAACTGATAATTAGGAGAGGAGAGCTTGGAGACCAGGAGCCTGGAGCAGAACATTACCTCTATCCCTGTAATGAGCACCCAGCTGTTTGATCCATCTTCTGAGTTCGCCCAGTTCTGCTGAGACCCTTGGGATGGTGGTTTGCTCTGTGTTAGCTTGTCATATTTTGAACAGTTGTCTGAGGAAAGAAAGCGACTCAGCCTAGAGCAGCACTGATGTCTTCTGGAAGGCTTGTTTATTTTCAGGTCTAGCTGTGTGCAACATCTTAATGTGTGTGGTCCCGGTGATTGTAAAAATCTGCACTATAACATCACCTCTAAGTTACAGTTTTCTGATCCAGGACTTGGTTTATTTAAATGTATGCTTTTAAAAGTAGAATATTTGTATGCCAAGGGCTAGCAGAGGAGAAATGGAGGGTTACTGGGGAGTGAGTGTAGAGTTTCAGTCATGCAGGATGGAAAAGTTCTAGAGAGCTGCTGTATAACAGTGCATATATAGTGAACAATACGGTACCACACACTCAAAATTCTGTTAATAGAGTGGATTCCATGTTATCTTTTTTATCCCAAGAAAAATTATATTGGCAAGGTAGATACTTTATTTATTTATTTTTTGGGTGCTGCTTTTTATAGTCAAGAAGCTAATGCTGCAAGTCGTGTTTGAGATGGCTGAGGTCACCCTCTCAAGGGAATATATGTCTGCCGTGTTTGGCTTCTATTGCATCATGGTGAAGGTACCTTCAGATGCAAATGTTCCAGGCTTTCATTGGAAATCCCAACACAATAAAAGTGAATGATTATGCAAGTGAAAAATCAAGTTTCATTCTTCAACTGGAAGAGGACCTAGAATTTTACGATATATATTTTAACAAAAATAATTCTGAGAGTTATTGATGACTCTGTGTTTTCATGAATCCTCTGAAAGATGGAAAAATGGAAAGGCTGGAATTGGGGTGGGTCAGAGAGATGGAAGACCTCTTCACCAGGAGTACAGAGGTGAGATGGTCTAGATAGTAGAGGGTCCCAAGATTCTGCATGATTCACATGTGGTCTGTGGCTCTTTTGAATCTCACTGTCTTTCTAAAAGGCTGAAGTGGTGTTTTCCTCTTTCTCTAGGCAACTAGGCCTTACCTAAGCTCCCTGGGGCTAAAGCAAGCTTCAGGGAATACTCTTCCTGTCACACCTCACGTAATTGCAGAAGTGAAGTTAATTGAGTTGGCATTTTTTGAGGAACTCATGTATGAGGCATTGGGTCTCATGTAAACAGGGGTGGTTTTAAATCAGACATGTTCACCCAGTGCCTCTTCGCTGCAGCCCTCCGGTCTGACTACAAAGAGGGGCAGCTAGGCTGAAGGGAGAGAAATGAAACCGTTTGGCAGATTGCAACATCTGGCAGTTCTTCTGGAGCTTGCTGTATTGCATGGACGCTCTGGTCCTGCAGTCTGTTGTCACTAACGATCACTTCATTTGGAAGGACTGGATGGCAGGAGTGGCTTTTCACCTTCTCTGAGTCCTGACCACTCTCAGTCTTGAGTTTGACACAGTGGCTGCCTGCCTGAGGCTGGGCAGGAGAGAAAGGCGCCTTTCTGCCCAGGAGACCCCTTCCTTGTGGCGACCCTTACCCCGCCAGGCCCCGACCACGCGGCTGTGCCCCTGGTGTGAGTGTGCGCGGGAGCTCCCCGGCCTGGACGGGGGCCTGGAGGCCCAGAGGCTTCGCTGGGAAGTGTGCAGTGTTACCTCCCTCCCCCGCGGACCCTCACAAGGCCCGATGGACCGGAACGCGGGGCCCAGGTCACCCCCAGCGTCCCCAAGGCGGGGCAGGCGTGGGGGCGGCATGCGGAGGGCGGCAGGACTCCAGCGCCGCCGTGACCGGCCTTTCTCTGTCCCGCGCAGGTGAGCGCTGCGGGCGATGGGATGGATGAGGCAGAGCAGGACCAGCATGAGGCCCGACTCAAGGAGCTGTTCGACAGTTTTGACACGACGGGCACCGGGTCCCTGGGACAGGAGGAGCTCACCGACCTCTGCCACATGTTGAGCTTGGAGGAGGTGGCCCCGGTGCTGCAGGAGACGCTGCTTCAGGACAACCTCCTGGGCCGGGTAAGGCCCGCGGAGAGGCGGGCGGTGGGAAGTGGGTGCGGTTTCTGTGCGGGCGCAGGTGGGGAGGGGCGGGGGCGCAAACCACAGGCGCTGCAGCTTGTTTCTAACGTTCTGGGTCGCGTGCTCTTGGCTGTCAAGCTGATAAACAGCGGGGGGCGGGAGGTGGGGATGGAATGGGAGCGACACAGCAGTGCGGTTTGCTGCGTGACCAGGGCCTGCTTTAATTTGTGCTCTGGAGTGAAAGTGTACACTGGGCATCTTAGATGAGAAGAGAAAAAGGTACCGAGGATGTTTTCCCAACTCTTTGTGGCCCGTTTTTGTGGAGTCTTTATGGACTCCATGCTCATCAAGGGAGGGAGCTGAGATTTCCATTGAAGTGATGGAACCTACAGTGAGAAAACTGCTGTCCCAGGAAGAGCAGCTCACTGTTAGGATGTTTATAAACTATAAACCTAAAGCTGTTTCTTGTGAGGACTGTTTGTAGGATTAAGTATTAATTAAACCTTTCACCCAGGAAATAAGACAGGAGGGTAAATAAATACTGTGCAGATTCTCTTAAAACCCAGCACGACTTGCTTCCAGCAGGGATGTGCATCTGTGCTGATGTTAAGTTTTACCTCTGAAAACAAATAGTCATCTTCTCCCTGTAGATCAGGTCACAGAGATGAGTAAGAGGTGAAAAGGGGCTCCTCTTGCTGTTAGTGGGAAGGATGTCATGACCTGCTAGTGTCTTCCATTCTCATAGTTAAAATTTAAAGCATCATTTGTTTGGCTTTGGGTTGAATCTTGCTATTGGTTTTTTGAATGGATAAGAAGGAAAAATGGGCAATACTTTTCGAGCTCTGTTGCTGCCATTGCTGACACTTTGTAGATGTTTGTTTTTGTCACATGGTGTAAATCGAGGAAGCAGCTGTGAAGTTCAGCTTTATTCTAGTGACCAAACTTCCTTTTCTTCATTCATTTTCGCTGTCTCTTAACTGAAACATTGGGCACGTGGCCTCAGACACAGAGCAGTGTATTGGCTCTCTGTGATGGGAAATAGGAGTGGTGAGCATCCTGAAGTTAATGTACAGGGGATGATGTTCTTGGGGGCTTGACACCATGAAGGTGGCATTTAGCAGGGCTCTGCCACCATGAAGGTGGCATCTAACAGGACTCATACTTAAAAAAGGATGAGATTTTTGCAAAAGTGAAACCATATTTGGTAACTTTGAGGGATGATTCGCTGCTTATAAATACATGTGATCCCTAAAAAAAAAAAAAAAAAGCAAAAATCTTGCTTTGAAAGCAACCAGAATGGGAGCTTTAAGAATTAAACCACTTACTCCTCATCATGTAAGGCACTCAACTGTTTTCTTGTTCTTTCTCCATCTCAGACACTATCAGAAGCCAACAGAATCTCATTTCTCACTGTGGTTCTTGGGGATCTGAGTCCTTTCAGTATCTGAGGGATAGTATCATGCTTATTAAAGCCAGAGAAGACAGAATATGACTTCAGGTTTCCTTGAGAGCCAGTGAAACACAGAACCCTCTGCTGTAAACAGTTTGCTCCTTGGCAGCAGATTGACAGCCCACTTTCCAGATGTTGTGCATCTTTGCCCTCATTTGACAGACTAAAACAGCGGACCAGTTATTGATTGATTCGTTAACAACTTGACACTACCAACCCGCTTTTAAATTTGCTCTTGGCCTGTGAATAATGAATACCTGAGTGGTCTATAGCATGATATTTACTTATCCAGTGATAAAAGTTAAATAAATGTATGCATATTGATTTCATGGGGGAGGTCCCTGGTGGTTGTCTTGAGAGCAGACTTGGCATGAATTAATGTACTACTGTTAAATTTGCATTTTTTATGAAACTGAATTATTCTCAGATGATCACATGAACTGTGCCATATGCTGTTAAGATACTCTATATGGTCTACAATTTTAAATTGTAAGGAAAAAAATTCCTCAGACTTCACTGGAGAATTCGATGTTCTACCATCATGGTATATTAAATAGGGATCTTAAGTTGTAGAATTATAAAATTATAAATTGTTTCTAATGCCAGTGTCTTCCTCCTCTTTAGATGGTATTTATAGAAAAATATGTCAGAGTTAACAGTTTGGCTTAATAAAAAAGGAGAAAGAATAATAGCGTGACCTATGTGTATTCATGAATATATCTAAGTATATTCATCTATTCATTAATTTGACAAATATGTATTGTATGTGTCCCATATGTCAGCATTCTAATGGCCTTTTGGTATGGGTGCAACTTATGTTTATTGTACTTTTCCATTAATTTGGCTTTTGAGTACATTAATATCCATCAGCTTCCTGCATGCTTGTGGTTTTAATTTTGTCTTTTATATCATAACAAATTTAATTTCTTTTTTAAAGAACTGATGCATTTACTCCCTTTTTTTGACTGCACCGCCTGACTTGCAGGATCTTAGTATCCTGATCCAGGGATTGAACCCAGGCTCTTGACAGTGAAAGTGCAGAGTCCTACCCACTGAATCACCAGAGAATTCCAAGTATAATTTTTAAACAAAACAAAATAACTTTACCTCCTTTGGAATTGGGCTGAATTAATCTTTTTTCTTGAAAAAGAAATATGGTAAAAAGCATTTCCCCCCTCACCTAAGAATATGAATATTATCTGTTTATCTGTTTCTTTTTTATCTTAAGATCAATCTTTTGTAACTTCTTGTTCTCTTTTTTTTTTTAAGCCTAATGTTTCTTTGATAGTTACTAAGGAAACTACCTTAAATCAACTTGCCATTTTTATATATTTTATTAATTGGCCCTCATATTGCCCTCTTTGCTCTTGCTTTATAACTTGAAGTCATATTCCCCTGACCGGGTGGGCTTCACAGGTGGCGCTTGTGGTAAAGAATCTGCCTGCCAATCCAGGAGATATAGGTTCAATCTCTGGGTTGGGAATATCCCCTGGAGGAGGAAATGGCAACCCACTCCAGTATTCTTGCATGGAGAATCCCATGGACAGAGGAACCTAACAGGCTGTGGTCTGTAAGTCACAAAGAATCGTACATGACTGAAACAACTTAGCTTGCACGCACTTAGTAGTTATCTTTTAAGTGTTTGAAATGCCCAGAGATTGTGGATCATTGGTTTAAAGGAAAGAGGACATTGCTGGTAGGTGATTCCTTCTAGGTTATCAAAAGAGCTCTGCTTGTATCTTCGTTATCAGGTAAGCACCTGTCAGGCGGGTCAGACCCGAAGACAAGGGATTCCTCAAGATACTGGGGAACTTATAGACTGATTAGGTAACATTCCTGGTAGGTGAATGGTACTGGGAGTAAATGCTACAAACATTTAAGAAAGAGAACCATATTAGCTCACTTATTAAACCAAGTTTTCATCTAAGCAGTTGATTCCAGTTGTAGGTGCTTCCTGTTTATTGTCTTTTAAATGAATAGTTTCCACATACCTCTCTACCTCCTTTATTAGAAATCAGAACATAAAGATGATAATTTACCTTGCTTTTGTTGAAGCCTTTAGTTAGTTCCAGTTTTAAAAATACATTTTCTTTTCCTCATGGAACATATTAACTTTAAGACAAAGCTGCCACCTGAGTTTCCCTGATGTCCTCTTTAATATGAATCTGGATGATAAAGAATTAACATCTCACATCCTTGACACTCTCTAAAATCAGAACAAACCATGTGGTAGCAGAACTTACCCCTGGTTTCCAAAGAGTACCAAACGTATGTGGACTTTGGTCATCAAAGGCACTTTGGAATTTTTGTATTAAAATTTGATAACTGTACAAATATATAATTCTACCCAGTTTTCCCACTTCTCATTTTCAAGTGCTTGGAGTTCTTTTATAAACATCTTGTTTAATTTTATATGGTGATCTGCTGGTTTGTTTCCACTTCATTAAGCTTTTAAAGATTTCTTTCACTGCAGGTGGCAGAGGATGAGATGGTTAGATAGCATCACTGACTCAACAGACATGAATTTGAGCAAACTCCAGGAGATAATGAAGGATGGAGGAGCTTGGCATGCTGCAGTCCATGGGGTCGCAGAGTCAGACACAACTTAGTGATTGAACAACAAGAACAATACACATTTTAACCATTTGAAAAGTGGGTCAGAAGTACAGCAGTACTTTCTGGTGGTGATGATTTGTACTTCTGAGGGATATTTTCTGGTTCTCTTTTGGTCTTGTGACTCTATGTAAACCATCACTCCATTCCTTTACAACGATGTCATCTGGGGTTGATTTGAACTCCTAAGGATCTATAATTCACATTTATAGACAAGAAGACCTAATTAAGAGATTACAGGACTTGCTACTTTTCTTTATTAATACTTTCTTATCAACCTCACCACAAAGTTGCCTTTGGTATTGTGTACTGTGACCCTCGTGAGGCATTAATCTGGCATAAAGTAAGAGCAAAGGGAAGCCTGTTGGAAAGACCTTCCATTCTCAACAAGAGGCAGGAACAGGTGCCAAATAGCTATTCTTTTCTACCTACTCTATTTCAGTAATGGCCGTCAGTCTCACCAGAGAAAATAGTGATATGATCAGGAATGGTCATTAGGTTTCTACAGTATTCCATTTATACTTCTATGAGTGGCTTCTTGTTTTGATGGAGGGGACTTAAATTTCTTCAGTGTCCAGCACAGATTTTACACTTCAGTGTTCATCTATATGACAGAGAAACCTAGAACCCAGAACTTGGAAAAAGGATGATGATTTGTCCAAGGTCAGGCAACTCACTTTAAGCAGTCCTGGGATGGGAACCCAGATTTTCTAGTCCCTGAGTTTGAATGCATCTCTCCTCAGACTCCACATATACAAATATGGGTCTCATTCTCTATCCCCTGCAACTCGCCCTCACCCCCAACCTCCCATCCCTCACCCCCCACCTCCCACCCCTCACCCTCACACCCACCACATGGAGACCATATGCTATAGAAGCAGTCTTTGAATCAGACCTGAACTCAGGTACTGATTCCTGCTGCTTTTTAGCCATGTAT